TCAGAAAGGTGACTTCTTTGCAGGGAACTGCTATGAAGAGGATACTGTATCTCACACCCAGCCACTGAAAAGCAATTGAGGGAGAAAAGATAGACCTAAAAAGTTTTGTGTGTGTGGTATATTTAATGAGTCAAAGAAAAATCAAATAAATGGGAGAAGAGAGGAACACCCAACTTGAGACCTAAATTTTCTCCTCTTGGGGTGACTTGGTGGCGCAGTCGGTTAAGAAACTGACTCTTGGTTTCAGATAGTGATCTCAGGGTCATGAGATCTCTCCCTCTCCCTCTGCCTCCTCTCCACGCTTGCGTGCTCTCTCTTGCTCTAAAATAAATAAATCTTTAAAAAAAATAAATTTTCTCCTCTCAAACTCTTTAAAGTTGGAGGGGAAAGACTAAGAGAAAAAAAAAATGGAAGATTTGGAACCAATTTGAGATTTTCTTTGCATTTGATGCTATGTTACATTGTAATGTAAATATATATTCATTAGCTATCCCCAAATTCTAGTTAACTTTTTCCCCCACAAATAGTTTTTAGAATTTTTTACAATGTAATTTGATGACCACTTTTTATGACTGACTGCTGTGGTGACTTTTACTTTCTATGTGTTATATATACACCGTATGCAACCTTCATTGGGGCATATCTAACTAGTTCTGTGCATACTGACTAAACCCCTGAGCCTAAACAACTACCTTGCATATGTAAACCACTGTAGATATGGAAGAAAATGGCTGATTTAGAAAAAGTGAATTACCAAACAAAAGGAAAAAATCCTCTATGTGTACTTCAGGATAAAATTAAATGACTGTACCAGCTAAATGTCTAGCTATGAAGTAATGAATTACTTATAAACATGTATTATCTTTCAGTGTGTTTATCACTTACCACAAAGATTAGGTACTTTAAGTTCCAGAACAAGTAAAGAGAAGCAAGGAAGTAACAACTGACAATATTATATATCCTGCTACTTAGACACACTCATTTTTCTATACATTTGTGAAAAGGAATATACTATTTATAAGTTATTTCAGGCTAGGAGTGTCTGAAAAGAAAATCTGAATAGAGGCAACAGCATTCATAAAAGTACACAGGAAAAAAAAAAACTCGCAAGAAGAACAGACTTTATTTTTAACATAAAAGTTCTATTTTCTTGTGAGGCAGCAATTAAGTGTCAGTGTCAGATACAGGGAATACATAAGTACATAATAACAATATTTATCACCATCAGAAATGCTGTTTTGGGGGAGACTTTTGTTAGAAAAACAAAATTTTTAAAAATTGCATCTTAAAAAGATTTACACAGCTTAAACAGAGATGAAAGATACAGACTTCAAAAAAAAAACAAATTATATTCAACAGGATTGTATAAACAAAATATTGTTCAGGGCTGCTCTGATTATCATTAATTTAAGCAGAGCAAAACTTAAACCTTAAAGTGCGAAGTATTCTTAGCTTTTTTTAATGCAAATTCAGCACTTCCACTGGTCCAGTTTTGAGACATCAAAATTCCAAGCATTAAGGAATGAATCTTAAGTTTAGAATAGTAAACTGAATTCAGTAATGGCAATTTTTCTTTTATTTCCTTTAACAGAAGAATATCTTGACAACCCAGTCCTAATCTTGGACATACAGAAGGCTATAAATTCTGCCCTTTTTTAAAATATCTCTTTTCCAGTAAAAGCCAAACATTAAAAAGAAAAAAAAAGGGGGGGGGAGCCTTTCTTGTTGCCAATTACTCCACAGTTAGCAGTAGCACCTTCTAAAAGGCTGATTTGGCTTAAGTAGTAAGAAATATTTTAAACAAAATGAAGACTCTAGTTCAAAAATAATTTTGGCATCCATGTTCATCGTATTAACCAAAGAGGCAGAACAGGTATTTTAAAAATGTAACTGCTAACAAAAGCCATGACAAGTAACAGACTTAGTCATGATCAGAAACAATAATGTTTTATGTTTTCATCATCACAAGGAAGAAATCAAGAGTAAAAAATAACTTAAGAAACTTAAGACCAAGTAAATAACCAGAGAATAGCTCCTTTTGCCAAAATATACATGTCACCTATTTCTTTTACTGCAATAGAAGTAAATTTATTTAAAACTTTTAAAAATTTAAATTATATTCCCATTGAAGCTATTCTAATTTATCTTCTGTACAGTTTTCTACAGAATAACAAGATAATTATGGAATGTAGTTTTAGAAAATATTCTTTTGAAAGTAGATCCATTTTTTAAAAAATCAGCCATCTGTGAACTAAGGGTAAGCAAAAGAGCTGAATGGACCTATGGTTAATATTTTTTCAAGACTGCAATAAAGCTCATATGCTTAAAAATTAGCCCTTTGGCACTGGCAGTTAGAGTTCTTTGTCCTTGGACCTTTTTGCTTTCTTTCAAATCTCAGGCTCCATTTCTCCCAAACCCAAGGGATATGCTTGGTTGCCATACAATTAATTTACCTGCAAATTCACATTCTCCTTACAACCAAACATTAGAAGTTCCACCTCTAAGACTATGTAAATAATAACTCTTAAACTTGTTCTCCCGTTCCGGTTTTAAATTACTTTAGATTAAGGATATATGAAACTCTACAGAAAGATGTGAATTACACAAATATACACAAAAGAGTAAAGGGAAAAACTGTTTATAAAGTGGCATTTTAGTTATAAAATACCCTTGCGATTTACAGGAATGGACAGAAGAAAACAAGTGTAAGGTAAAGAAAAGAACAGATTTAATGGAATTCAAGTAATCAAAAAACTGAGAGTTTTTTAAAACTTGTTTTTAACTTCCTCCTCCTCCCATTCATACCAACTCCCCTGATGAGTTTTACCTTTTCTTCTGTACTTTTGATAGAGCAGTTCTCAGCGGTGAAATGGTAAAGTCAAGACACATAACAAATAAGGCAAAGAATCAAGGTTCTCAAGAAACCAACCAACCAGAAAATTTAGATCCTGAATAACTGAGTTTTACTGATTGAGAAGCCACAATGTACTAATTCCAAGTAAATTAGTTTTGGATGGAGAAGGTACCAAAATTCATCAGTGCTACCAACTGAAACCTGATAGACTTATTCAAATGTTTGAATTTATCTAATTTGCCTAAATACATCTCCATTTTAAACTTCACAGGGCATAATTTTAATTACTTGGATGTTTTAAAGGTGCATGAGTATAAGAAGTCCTTTCAGAAGATTTATTGCTACCACTAGGTTTCCCCTGATGGTATATGTCCGAACTGACCTATTAAACCTTCTAAACTGTATCCCCTTTACAAGTATTTAAATTTCTTTCTCCCTATAATACGTATAGGAACATTAAATTATTGCATCATAGGTAGTATATGAAGATCTTAGAAGGATGCTTTTTATCAATACTGTTTGCAGAAACTCATTTTTAAAAAGAGCTACTCCTTAATTTCACTACCACACACACAAACATGAAATACTGTTGTCAGGTGATACTGGCAGTGATTGTATTAAGTTGAGCCTAAATCCAAAACTGTATGGATTTTTCAAAGATCCCTGTTGTTTATATGCTCCAAAGCTCTCCTGGCCTGTCTTCCCCACTGTGTGGAATGCTGGAGGAAAACTAGCAAAATCTGTAAGCAACATATCTCAGTGCCAACCACCATAAAGAAAATGTCAGTCGCAAGATTCTGTGACTCCGGATTGCTATTCAGTGGATTACACTCCTGGCAAACTACTAACCCTGACCAATTCCACAAGACAACAACATCACAAAAGCAAAGGAGGAAATCCATGCACAGTCATTTTAGGACCTCTTAGAACTATGATACAGTGATGATAAAGGGAGATCATGTGGTAAGTATTTTGTAGAAAACCAAAGGGGCTCCTTACTCCTAGCTAGCAATCAACACTGGGTAGTTTCCTTTTGGCTCACTGACTTTTCAACCAAGTTCCAATGATGGGTGAGAACATATTAAAGCACTGGTCTCCAGACTATAATTTTTCTGACCACATGGTGAAATGTGTACAAGTATAGTGAAGAAAACAGCAGTTTTACAAGTATTTCACCCAAAGCACAAACTTCTGACATCAAAAAACATAAACCACATAATGTACTAATATTTAATATTGCTTTTTATCTCTTGTTATATATTTGTTCAATGCATTTACCTATCAATTCTTGTTTGGGAGAAGAACATAGTCATGAGATTAAGATTGCTGGGAAAATGTCAACAATCCCTTTGGTCCCAAAGCTGAAAACAGCTGAGAAAAGCACACACCTAGAAAGGGAAACAAGAAACAAGAGGCCACCAAAGAATCTTTGAACATCCTGTTTGCTCCATTTCAGAAAATGTAACATTGGTATTATAAAATAGTCATTTTCATATAAAAGATGGTTCTTGCAGCATCATTCATGTCTCCCTTCAGGAATTATGTTTGCAGGGATCAGTTGTCTTTTTTTTTAAGAAGTTTAATTTGAAAACAAAAAACAGTATGATATCGGCCCTCCAAAAGTAAATAATGAGACCTTTCTTGTTTCAACCGGTGCTTTCAGAAAAAGCAGGCTAAGCAATGAGGGCTGGCCTTCATGAGTGAGCAAAGCCGTCAGAGGGCGTTGCCTTCTTCCAGAAGTCACACTGTGACTCGTCGCCGCAGAAAGCCGGAGCACTTCACAGCCAACTGGGAGCGTGCGATGCCTCCACGATGAAATGATCTGAGGAGGTTCTCAGTTGCCCAGAAAAACGGTCACACCTACCCTTCAGCTTCCTCAATGGGTTCTGGTGGTGGGAGTAGAGAGGCTGATGGCATGACTGTACTCGTTCCTCGAGAGACTCGGTCTTGCTCCGTGTTTGTAGACAGGGAGGCCACAGCAATAGGCTGCAGCAGAGTGGTGGTCATACCAGTGGTAACTGTCAGACTGTGACCAGAGCCTTTGAGGGTGAGATCTGGTGTGGGAAGGAGTGGCTTGAGGATGCTGACGAGGCAGAAGGCAGAGCCGCTTTTAGGAATGAAATTCACTTTGTTTTTGTCAGGACAGTAAAAGGCTGGGATTTCATGGAGTTGTTTTGGCCTAGGCACAGAACAGACAACCCAGTAGTTTTAAGTCACAGATCACCGAAGTAAGTTCTTTTATTATTTTTTTTCTAAACAGGTAAGTTATAGATACATGAATACAAAACTCAAATACAAAACTCAAATTATATCAAAAGCTTCAAATGCTATGGGCCAAAGTGGAAGGAGACACATGATTCAAAATATGTATCTTAGAATGCCGAAAGGACATCACTCATCTTTGCCGCTTTCAATTCCCTGGAGAGCCCGGTACACCACACAGGGGACTCAGGCTGATGACCACCGCATCTCAGTGAAGATCTAAGACAACCATTAAATAAAGAATTTCCTAAAGCAAAAGAAATTCTAGCTGTTTAAAGACAAAAATATGTTCCACTACTACAATTTTTCCAAAGCCTGTACTATCTTGAAAGGAATGACATACAATATCCATCTTTGCTAAATTCCACCAGTGCATGACTAAACTTTGGCAGGCATGAGTTTTTTCTTCAAGTGTGCTTAAAAATCTCTGACTGAAAGAAATTTTTTGAGTTAACCATGATGGTTTTCTGAGAAACATAATGGAAACATAAAATCAAAATAAAACTAATCACTGTCCCTTCCTATCCCCAGGTACTCCTGAAAACTAACCCAAATGTTTGGAAATGGATACTAGTATTAATGGTATTCTATGAAAATAAAGATATTAAAAAATTAAATTGTTAAAGTAACATGGAAGTGCCACAAAATTAAAAAGAAATTAAGGTGGGAGAACCTAAGTAAATCAAGATTCAGGTAGGAAAAGGTAATTTGATCATATGATAAAAGCATGGTTCTCATGTCTCCTAATGAAATTTAAAAAATTAAAATTCAAGTGTGCCAAGTCTGCACTAGATAGATTCTGGGGACCCAAAAATGAAACAATTTACAAGGAGACAGATTAAATATGTAGTTCTTGGGGGGAGGGAGATACTGAGAATAGAACTGTATTTCAATATAATTAATCCCATTTGTAATCTTACATGTTTTCTGCATTTAAAACATTATTCAGAGAAGTTATGAATTACTTCAAGCATCTCTAATCTTTGTCATACTGCCAAAGGTGCCCACAGCACAAAAAAAGGTCAAGAACGCCTATAAAGGGTCTGACAGATGTGATAAAAATGTCTTGTAAAAGGTTTAAAAATAGCACAGGGGAGTGGATAATCTGTGGCACAGAGGAAGAGGGAGAATTTGGTAGCAAGAAGGCTTACAAGGGAAGTAACATCTGAGCTGGGTTGTAAAAAATTAATAAACAGGGGCACCTGGGAGGCTCAGTCGGTTAAGCATCTGTCTTTGGCCCAGGTGGTGATCCCAGGGTCCTGGGAGTGAGTCCCACATGGAGCTCCTTGCTCAGTGGAGAGTCTGCTTCTCCCTCTGCCTGCCAATCCCCCTGCTTGTGCTAACAAATGAATAAATAAAATCTTAAAATAAAAAAGAAATGAATAAACAACAGACCTGGGGAATGGGAATGGTTGCCCCCCCCCCAAAAAAGCTCCAAGTAGACCATGTTTTTGGTGGGCAGATTTTATTAATAGTGAATACTACCCAAGGACAGCTTTGACAAATACAATAATTTAAGAACAAAGAAATCATTTAACTGATGTTTTACTTGTGCACTGTTCCAACATCAAGTACTTTTAGGACCACAAGTGTATTTGGATAGATTAGTGATAAGAAGGGCACACACTCCTCTATTTTTACTGTATGGGAGTATGGTTTTCAATTCCTTAAAGAAGATAGGAGGTCGAGGTTAGGTTTCTATAATTAAAAAAATGCTTGAATTTTCTTCTGAAGGTACAATTATTAGAAATAACTTTCATTTTTAGGGAAAAAAGGCCAATCCTCCTTAATTAATTTTGGGGGGGGTTATCTTGTTAAAAATTACTTAATTTCCTTACTGCTTTCATTAAAATAGATCTCACACAAAATAATATAAACAGTAATAACTAGCACCAAGACCAAACAAAACAGTAACAGTAAAAAGCACCAACCTCCCCCCAAAAAAAACCTCCCCAAAAACAAAAAACCTTCCTTAATGTCCCCTCTTCCAGTGGCCACCCCAACCTAGCAAGAGGAATCACTCCTGATCCCTAACATTTTTCTAGACGCATACTACCCAAGAAACATATTAACCACCACTGGAGTGGAAAACCGGTATATACCTATGGTAATCGAAGCTGCAAGTACTAATACTACTTTAAAGCTTTCTTCAACTTAATAACCATAAATAGAAAAAAAAAAATCTTAGAACTAATTTAAAATTTTCATTTTTCCTTAAGAAATTATTCCAAAAGGACTGTGTCTCAAAGCGGATATAACTGTTTGCAAGCTAACTTTCTGAAAAACTGATGGATGGGCTGCATAGTAATTCTAGGTATTCTGATACTGATGCAAAGAATTCTTTCCTTTTTTTTAAAGGCTTGTGTATTTTTTTTAATGCAGGCATAAATTATCAGCAAAGAAAATGGTGGGTCCAAGTTACTTATAATCGAAAGGAGGGAGAGAGACAAGGAGGGTCATGTTATATTTTTACTAATACCTCTATACTGCAAAGAGGCCATTATATCTAGGACTCTAAGGTAACTGAGGCCAAGGAATTTATTAGTTTGGAGGAAGAAATAGCATATTTGACTTTCTTTTAAAAAGGACTAAGTAGAAACGATAGGGCTATGGTATGTACTGTATCACAAAGAATATAGAGACTGAAAGTACAAAATGTGGTTTAAATTCTAGGTCTTAATTCAACCACCTATTTTCTTTCAGGTAAATAAACGTGCATTTCTAGAAACCAGAGATCAACCCTCACCCCACTCCAATCTCCAGGCAGGTCAGAGTTACTGCTTTTAGACCAGAAGAGTTAAAAATATTCTAGAAGAATGATTAAATAAGCCTAAAATTTTTAATTAGGACCAATAATCTATGTGTGTTTGTTGCTAGTGTGCCCAGTGGGTTTTGCTCTCATTTTGACAGAGGTAGGGCAAAAGAGACTAATTTTTTTAGACCTTGAGTAATTTGTTTTGTTGACAGAAAGTTAAAATTACGTCTAAGGAATCCATTGTTGGGTTACTGCTGTTCATTTGTTTTTGAAACGTAATGAAAATGCTTAAAAAAAGAGTAAGTTTTTGTATGCTACACATCCTTTATATCAATATAATGTATAACAAACTGTATATTTTATTTTTGTTTTAAAGATTTTATTTATTTATTTGACAGAGAGAGACACAGCGAGAGAGGGAACACAAGCAGGGGGAGTGGGAGAGGGAGAAGCAGGCTTCCCGCCGAGCAGGGAGCCGGATGCGGGGCTCGATCCCAGGACCCTGGGATCATGACCTGAGCCAAAGGCAGACACTTAACGACTGAGCCACCCAGGCGCCCCAAACTATGTACATTTTAAAAAGAGTACTCTTCTAATAACAGATGGATATGCCATAAACCATGTAAGATGTTAGGGTTTACCTTCTATTTCTTTGATCTAGCTATCCAGCCATATACACACACACCCCTATCCATTTTTCCCTCCCTTTAGATACAAATAATGTAGCAGTATATACATAGTTCAGATATTAAGTCCTGAGAAATGTTCCAAATGCAAGAGTTTAAGGCAGGTACCACAGGACACCAACCTACACAACAAATATTCACTTGAAGTCATTTATAAAAGGAATTCAAACTGCTTTTGAGCGAATCAACGATTTCTCTGCATTTGGGCAATCTTTTTTTTAAAGATTTTATTTATTTATTCAGAGAGAGAGAGTGAGCACACGAGCACGAGTAGGGGGCGGGGGGGCAGAGGGGAAGAGAATCCCAAGCAGACTCCGTGCTGAGTATGAGCCCCACACGGGGCTCGACCCCAAGACCCAGAGATCACGACCTCAGCTGAAATCAAGAGTCGGGTGCTTAACTGACTGAACTACCCAGGCATCCCTGCATTGGGCAATTTTAACTACCAATGAGTAAATCAATGAGCTCAACTCCAAAAGGTCCACTTAGACCATGTGATTTTTACTTAGTAAAATGATTCCACGTCTTAAGAATTCTCATGGAAAAGTCCAAGCCAGCATCTGCAAATTGGGCATAAAAAATATGAGGTATTTGTTAGAGATGCGCAGTCCAGGTCCTACCTCCATATTTATGCATTAGGCCTGGGATGGGGCCTGGGAATCTGCAGTTCCAACTCATACCCCAGACGATGATGATTCAGGGAGTCCATGGAACAGATCCGGAGAAATTCCGCTTGCACCAGTCAAGCTTTTAGACTAACATAGTAGGCACATAGTAGGCATGGCGGGGTGGGGGGGAAGCAGTTGCTAAAACGGAGTTTTCAATTACTGTCACAAAAGCAGATAGGAGACTGACATCTGGGATTTCCTAGTATAGAAATTGAGGGAATTCAAAAACAATGCTCTTTGTGTGGCAAAATTATTCAGAATTTAGGTTAAAGGAAGCTCTGACAGTAGGAGCACACAGGAGGAACAAAAGGATGCCATATTTCAAAATGATTCCAAGATGTTCATAAAGGAGCAAAAAGATCAATGATGTGAGTCAGACAAGGCTGGACAATCTTCACATTGTGTTTCAGGTTTTGCAAACGAGAAAAAGCCAGAAGGGTGACTCTTAGACGTGCAACCGTAGTGAGACTGGAAGGGAAGGGCTCGGTACTACCGTCACACCCCCAAATAATGTTCATTACCTCATCTGCTATCTCACACATACCTACAATCCTGTAGCCATCACTTACAAAGCCAGGAGCCATGGCTACTGAAAATACTAAGGCTAATTCTGAGCAAATTTTGAGTCTAAAATTATAGTACTTCCCTAGAGTGCCAGTCAGCAGAAATATGAGCATAGGAGATCACATACTAACAGTACGAGACACTATTTAAAATCCTGCTTCTTACATTATCTTCATCACAGTAACCTGATTCTACAAAGTTGTAGAATTCTATTTCCAATACAGACAAAATACTTCTAATACTGTTTAAAGAACTAGAGACCAAAAGTACATAAAATCTGAAGGGAATTCAATCCGTGAAAGAAGGAAACCACACTAGGTGAGATCCATAGTCTACCTTGAATAAAAATACTGCTAAATTCAATGTGTGAAGTTGACTGTATACAGATTCAAAAAGAACAGCCACAGAGGATACACTGGGGACAAGTGAGGAAACGTGAAAAACAACTGGATATTAGTTGGTATTAAGCATTGCTGTTAATTTTGTTTGGTGTGATAATGGTTTTGTGGTTATGTAGGAGTACTATGGTTACTTTTAGGAAACAAATATTAAATTGTAGTTACAGTTAAGTGTCATGATGTCTGCAACTTATTTCTACACACTTCAAAAACTACCACCACCATGCACAGGCAAAGCACATATTAACAGAATGTTAACTACAGAATCCAGGTTGTGGATATACAGGAGTGATCACTGTACTATTCAACTTACTTGAAAATTCTCATAATAAAAGTTATTTGGGGGGATACTTACGAGCATTCCTCAAAGACTTTGACCCTTTCACAGCCCTCAGGAGGTTCCCTTTTGAACATATAACTGTTGTTAGGTTTTGGTGAGGTTGCATATTTGGGCAAAGGAGAGTTGTTCCCATTCTCTGCAAAAAATGGCATGCTGGATTACTAAGAAATACTGCCACATAAATGCAGTCATACTAAATTTTAATTGTATATGGCCTCCCCCGACACCACGAACTACTTGAGGGTAAGAACAGTGTTTTACTCATCAATACCACCACCCAAGATCTGACACAATACCTGCTAAAGAGGAGATAATTAATGTTTGCTAAATAAATGCATAAACAAAAAAATTTTATTTCTTTTCCACTTACAATTACTACAGCTTAGGCCTATCTCACTTAATTCACAGCACTTAACACTGATATCTTGCTCCCTTATTTCTGATATATACGCAGCAATCAGACTCAAATGCCAGTTCCTTTCTTCCCAGTACATGTAACTGAGATGGCTCTTCGCTGGTTGCTTATCATTCACTCCCGGCCTGCCCTTCAGAATTTCTCAATTTGATTTCTCTGCTCCTCTAAGTTACAATCTCTGTTCCAGCAGTCAGGAGACATCTTGCACTGTACGCCAAAGGCTTCTCCTTACTTCAGAGGTCCATCTCTATTCATTTGCCAAAACTTCCTTCAAAGTCTAACTCGAAGTTTTGAAATCTTTCCAAATTTTCCCTATCAAAGCAAATACTTCAACTCTGGCATTCTTGTTCAGTGTTGATATCCTCAGTTTCTACTACATTAACTTAAAATTCCTCATATGTTACCTAAGTGTTCTAAATTTTCAGTCTGACTGTGTCAACTAAGCTATAAATTTTCTTTGCGGGCAGTAGCACTGTGGCCTGTTTTCTTATAAAAGAAATTCAGAGAAGCTAACCAGTCACCAGTCTCCTAAAGTGAAATAAAGCATTACACAAAATTCACGGAGTTCCAACTTGTTACTGAAGTAAAAGTAGAAAGTATGGGCGACAAGGGGAAGATTTTAATAGCCATGTTTTTTTAAAGGGGGGGCAGTGTTACATTTAATTGAGCACTAAGTACCAGAAGCTGTGCTAAAAGGTTTGCATTTACCATTCCTTTTAATCCTAACAATAAGTAGTAGTTAATTATGCAGATTCCTGATAAGGAACACACAGCCCAACCAAAGGGTTTAATTCTGTGAGTGTCAGACCTCGGTGCACACTGGAATCACCTGAGTGCATTAAAAACTATTGGTACCTGTATCCAACCCCCCAGGGGTTGTGATTTAATTGGTGGAGGGTGTTGGAATAGCCATATTTTACTTAACCTAGAAGCTGGTAAAAAAGGGTTCAAATAATAACATTTACAACTGCCCATACCTTTAACTGACTTCTTCAGGAAATCTTATGTTCTTTTCAGTTGTTACAGTCTCAGTAATTTAGGTAGTTGATGGTAATGGCCAATTGTAACTTTTTAGGACATTCAACACACTTGTGAGTAGTAGGTTCTCAATAAATGACTACTAAACTGAGCTGCAGAATTTACAAATATATTATTGCTCTCAAGTACACAGAGTAACTTGGATTAGACTAACAAAATTTTGTCCTGATACAAATGACAGGTCATGTTTGTTTTAAAAGTCAAGAACATTAGTAATTAATATTCAAACAGCTTAAGTCTCCAAATTATCTTTTAAGTTGCATAGGTAGTTTAGTACTCTAAGTAAGCCTTCCAACCTTTTACTATAGGCTTGCCTTCAATACTCATTTTGCATTGACATAAATCAGCTTAATTCTTGTTAGAAATTTCACACGAAGTGATTCTAAAAAACATTAATTTGAAGGTTTCAAGTTCAATTAAAAATACTAAGGTAGTAAAAACAATACAACTAAGGTGAAAGAGAACAAAGTGCTTTTCTTTTTTTTTTTTTTTAAAGATTTTATTTATTTATTTGAGACAGAGAGAATGAGAGAGAGAGCACATGAGAGGGGTGAGGGTCAGAGGGAGAAGCAGGCTCCCTGCTGAGCAGGGAGCCCGATGTGGGACTCGATCCCGGGACTCCAGGATCATGACGTGAGTCGAAGGCAGTCGCTTAACCAACTGAGCCACCCAGGCGCCCGAGAACAAAAGTGCTTTTCAAGACAAATGTTCATTTATACCAAAAAGAATGTTTCTCATTAATAAGGAATTTGCATTAACAAGTGAAGAAAAAAAAAAAAGGTACAAACAGAAGTCCATAAACCCACACAACTAGACCATCACTTGAGCGCTACAGTAAAACTTACTGTTTTGTACTTCAATTTTTTAAAATCTATGTTAAGAATGTATGTCAAAGTAATTACCTTAGTAGCCTTAAGTGTGTGTGTTCTACCACAAAACGAACAGAATGAACAATACAATAGGTGGTGCTCATTAATCTGGTAACAAACTCCCCCTGCGTTGTACCTTTATCCCTGGGATCAACAAGCAGGTCATCAGCCGAACAAGGGCTCTCTTCGCTACCTTCGTTTGAGGTGGTGAGGAATGATGTGGGGGACACAGACTGAGAGCGGCTGCTACTGTTGCTTCCCCTGTCCGCCCCCCCGGGGGTCTGCGTGTCGATGCTGCGTGTGCTGCTACTTCTCTGGACGAGTGGGGGTGGTGCACGATGGCCATCTGGAATATCTTGTGGCTGTGATGAAATTTTAAAAACATATGTGTATTTATCATCGATTTCAAAATTCACCAGAAATGCACCCCAAATCAACCTTCCCCTATTGTGCCAGATGCCATGGTAAAAGAGAAAAGAGGAGAAATCTAGGTATAACCCTAGGTTCCATATCGGAAGAGAAGGTTATCCATTGTGTGAACTAGAGATACTTGATAACAGGTCCTGTTACTTTCTCCCTCTGCCCACATACATCCCCCTGAAAGAGTTTTTCCAAAGAAACCTTCCTTAATAAGGGAAAGGTTAATGGTAGCAATGGTAATTATAGGGGGAAATCAAGAAGAACATTCAGAGGATATCTTGTGTGGCTCACTTTGCAGGAAAACCAGCTCCCTGTACACCTTTGATTCATTTACCTTTATGACATCGGGGGGTTACTCCCATCCTGCAGGATGGACAAGAGGGTGTGGGAGCTGTGTTTTTCTAAGCTAAACCAACCTTTAATCTTCATGGAGAGGATATCTTAAGCATGAATAAAATACTACTTCAAACTCCCCAATTCCTCTTTCACTGAAGAATGAAAGCTTAAATATACTCTGTGACAAAATATTTTAAATATAAACAGGAATTTTCTGTGTCTTACATAGGAATCATTTTTATATATATATATATTTTTTTAAGATTTTATTTATTTGAGAGAGAGAGAGAGGCAGAGGGAGAGGGAGAAGCAGGCTTCCCACCGAGAAGGAAGCTGGATGCAGGGCTCAATCCCAGGACCCGGGATCATGACCTGAGCCGAAGGCAGACACTTAACGACTGAGCTTCCCAGATGCCCGGTGTATTATAGGTAAGCAGAACTGCACTTCATGATCATAAAGTCAACCAAATAGTAACTCACAATCAAACAATAAGGAAGAGGTAGATTCATGCTTAGAAAGTATTTGAAGTCATATCCCTCCCTCTCCAACAAATTTGGAATCTAAACTTTTGTTACATGGAGTTATAGCAAATGAGAAGTGTATCACCTGTCTAGTGATTTTTAAATATGGTAAACAAAAAGTAGTTTCTGTTCAGGGACCTAAATTTAAGCCGTATCAGTTGTCTCTAGGAGATGCAAAGAAACGACAACTTTTCATTCACTTGCTAAGATAAAGTTTTTCAAGAGAGACATATTTTCATTGTCTCTCAACAGGGAGGAAGGAACATAAGTAAATATGGAAACTGAAATTGTAACTTTTTAAATAATTAGAACAGTTAATGTGGAAGGACAAGTTTAAGATACAGGATTACTTACTATAAGTTGTTCTTCCTTTTCCCCAGTCTCTTTAATGATTATTTCAATCTCCTGATTCAATCCTTCCACACTATTCCGGAACCGGGAACCTGTTGATTTGGTGATGGGAATTACTGGAATAAGTGCACTCTTTGGAACAGGAGCCTGAAGAAAAAGCAGTGGAGAAGAGAGCTTTAATATGTTTCCTTTAAATTCTCTAGTTTGAAGCATACTTCCCATTGACATGCATAACTCTAAAATAAATCAAAATTAAGCTTACAGGCCTCACAAAAAGCGTGAGTAACCATCAAACATGCTCCTTGGTATACACAAAATATAATTTAAAGCCAAAACTCCAGACAATCAAGGTAGAATTCAGAAGTTTATTCACATCTATGAGGACTGTAAAGAGAGTATGGATAAAGGGAAATACTAAAAGAATGTCAATATCAAAAATTCTTTTATGACTGTAACAGAGTTCAGATTTTAGAACACAACTTAAAAGTCCTCTAGTGTCACAATTATCTATAGTCCAAGGAAAAAGTTCTTTTGTTTTTTTTTAAAGGTTTTATTTATTTATTTGACAGAGAGAGACATAGCGAGAGGAAACACAAGCAGGGGGAGTGGGAGAGGGAGAAGCAGGCTTCCCGCCGAGCAGGGAGCCCGATGCAGGGCTCAATGCAGGGCTTAATCCCAGAACCCTGGGATCATGACCTGAGCCAAAGGCAGATGCTTAATGACTGAGCCACCCAGGCAACCCTGGGAAAAGTTTTTTAAAAGGTGATTTATCAGAAAAAAATATTTTGGGGGTGCCTGGGTGGCTTAGTCATTAAGCGTCTGCCTTGGGCTCAGTTCGTGATCTCAGGGTCCTGGGATCGAGCCCCGCATCGGGCCCCCTGCTCACCAAGAAGCCTGCTTCTCCCTCTCCCACTGCCCCCTGCTTGTGTTCCTGCTCTCGCTGTCTCTCTCTCTGTCAAATGAATAAATAAAAAGTCTTAAAAAATAAAAAAGAAAAATATTTTGGTTGGAAAAAACAAAATCAGTCTCAAAGTCCACATATAGCAGCAAGATTGTAGAAATGAGCATAACTTCCCTGTGATGATTTTAATATGTTAAGGAAAAAAAAGATATAATTCATTTTCTTCTTTTTCCACTGGCACAGCATTACTTTTGAAAAGAAATAATTGATTACATAATTAAAGGATATTACATGGTTTCCTGACAAGATACTCAAAGTAAAATATGAAACAAGAATGACAGAGGTATCTGCTAAAGTTAATAGCAACAGCGTGCCAGAAGATCATCCCACCTACTGTCCTGCTATCTAGTAAAGAAATGTGATTCTTCATTTAGGGGGGTTTCTTTGAAAAACCTCTTTCAGGGGAAGGTGGGCAAGGAGACAAAGGTAACAGGGCTGCCAAGCATCACTGGTTTCCATTCAGTGGATACTACCCTGTTGTATGAATAGAACTTCGTGTTAAACCTGTATTTCTCCTCTTTTGTAAATAAAAATATTTATTTATTGTAATATAATAAAATAAATAAAAATAAATAAAAAATTTATAAATTAAAAATTTATAAATTAAAATTTATAAATAAAATTTTTATGAATAAAATTTATAAATAAAATATAAATTTATAAATAAAAACGTTTAAAAATAAGCATAACACAACAATAATCTTTAGAAAAGGCAAATTTCCATCCTTGGAAAATTTGTGAGAAAAAAGCCAAGAGGAAGCTTCAATCTGGAGTGGACAGAAAGAAGAGATGGAAGTACAAAGGGAATAGTAACATGAGAAGCTTGAGGGTATGGAGAGAATATTGGGGAACAGAGGGACTGTAAAAAAACAGAGGGGAAAATGAAAAGATACTACTAGAAGAAAATGATACCTGAAAAAGATTGTGAAAAGACAAGAAATTTTTTTTTTTTAAATATTTTATTTATTTATTTGACAGAGAGAGACACAGTGAGAGAGGGAACACAAGCAGGGGGAGTGGGAGAGGGAGAAACGGGCTTCCCGCAGGGCAGGGAGCCCGATGCGGGGCTCAATCCCAGGACCCTGGGATCATGACCCGAGCCAAAGTCAGATGCTTAACGACTGAGCCACCCAGGTGCCCCAAGACAAGAAATTATTTTAAGAATAAAATACCTAATAGGGAAAACACAAAATAAAAGTTGTAGCTACCGTTTACAGAGCATCCATCCACCATGGGCCAAACACCACAGGTCCTCTCATGTCATTTTCAGAACCACTCTCGAGGTGGTGGCAGTGTTCCCCAGGTTACATGCAGAGAAAGTGAGACTCAGGGGCCCAAGAATAATGAAGCAATGTTGCCTCTTAGGCATCTCCTTATTGCCACTGCCTAAGACATGAGGCTTATTCAACAAGGCTGGTGCTATGAACTGAATGTCTGTGTCCCCTTTTAAAATGCTCTAACCCCAACGTGGCTATTATTTGGAGCTGGGGGCTGTAAGGAAGTAATTAAGGTTACATAAGAATGAGGACTTGATCCCATATAAGAAAGGAAATCGTGAGGTGACAGGAAACGGATTCAGACTAAAGCAGTTACGGGTTAAAAGAAATCTACAGCTCACGAGCCTGGAGTGGAGAACATATTAGAACATTTCTGTCATGCACTCATCCTACCTATGCCTGAACTCTTCCCGTGTCAGGAAATAATGGCAGACCAAGAAAGATCTCAGGACTTAGTACATATTTAACAAACAGGTTTTTTGTTTTGTTTTTTTTTTAACTTAAAGATACTCAACTCTAAGCTTAATTTTCTTTTCTGAATGTCACAAAACAAGTAATAGCTTGCACTGGATGCCATTTTCAGATATGGCATTTGGTTTCTGTTAAGTTATAGAAATGAAGAGGGAGACCAGAAGGGAAGGATGCTCTGACAAGGTTTTTGCAAAATGTTGACCTTCTTGGACTTTAGAACCATGAATATCTTCAGAACAGAAAGCTTAAGTTTTCTGGCTGTTATGTTGGGAAACGCACATACACAGAAACCTGCCAATATCATAACCAACTGTACATCTAGTTACTGCTTGTCAAGGTAGCTAAGAAGTCATGCCCTACACAGCTGGTAGGCTTTTCTCAAATATCATCTAAAGAGCAGCAAGTATTTATCAATAGTCAATTTAAAGCAAAGGAAAGAAAAGAAGGAAAAAGGGCGCCTGGGTGGCTCAGACGGTTAAGCGTCTGCCTTCGGCTCAGGTCATGATCCCAGGGTCCTGGGATCGAGTCCCGCATCGGGCTCCCTGCCCCTTGGGAGCCTGCTTCTCCTTCTGCTTCTCTCTCTCTCTCTGTCTCTCATGAATAAATAAATAAAATCTTTAAAAAAAAAAAAAGAAAAGAAAAGAAGGAAAAGAAAGAAAACTGCCAATTCCCTAAGGTCAACAAAGCAATTTAATAAGTAAATGAAGCAAAGGTTCAACGATAATTAATTTAACTAGTTATATAATTAGAAGAAAAGTAATCCACTCAAGCTGCCTAGGAAAGATTTTCTTTATTAAACACACTATTACTGTTCCAGAAGTAGAAGGTAACAGGCCTCTGATTTCATTCCTCACATAAACCATACTCTAAAATATCTAAAAATTTTTAAAAAATGATCAAACTTTCATGCTTCATTTCAAGGACTCTTAGGGAATTTTATGTGCATGTGTGTATAATTTATTTTTCCCATATCTATATATGTTTCTGTAATAAAATTTGTATTTCTAAATATAAATCAGTATATGCAAATATAAGTGAGTTATCATAGTAACTGAGAGATCATCTTTAGACAGCACTGAAAGATTAAAAGTTCTTCACTGTACTAAGGTAAATCTCTCTTCTAAGATCTATCCTTTGGAAACATCAAGAACAAGGACCTCCTATTTTCTCAACTTTTGTTTCTTTCTCTTCAAATCAGAATATTTTCCAATCAATTAAGGGTTTTAATTAGATTAATCTCCATTATAAAGATTTATTTTTCCATTTACATTCTCTGTATGTCTATATACATTACAGTTTAAAGATCAAATTCTGCCTGGGGCACCTGTGTGGCTCAGTTGGTTAAGCGTCTGCCTTTGGCTTGGGTCATGATCCCAGGATCCTGGGATGGAGCCCCGCGTTGGGCTCCCTGATCAGCAGGAAGTCAGCTTGTCCCTCTCCCTCTGTTCCCCTCATTTTCTCTCTCTCTCTCTCGCTCTAATAAATAAATAAAATCTTGAGATCAAATTCTGTCTAAAAACTGAGAGTTAGCCAATAAAGAAAGAAAAGATCACCAAAAGGTTTGGCCACTACTGAATCTTCTAAGATCAATCTATATTACAACTTAAATACCTGTTTCAAAGTGTGGACATAAGACTGTGTACAATAGAGAGATAGGAAAGATGGGAAGAATACCCACTCAAGCAGTAGCTGAATAGGGAAAAGAAATACAGAGTTAAATTTTCAAAGGAAGAAAAATGTGCCTTGAGAGGCAAGTAGGATAGAAAAAGATCTGGTCAGCAATTCAACATAGATCTAGGAGAGAAATATGTGCCAGAATATAACAAATATGAGCCCAACATAACAAAAGGGAGGGGAAAACTGATGTCTGCAATGGTAAGAGAAGAAGAAAAAAAATTTAGAACGCATCAGGGCTTCCGCGCGTGGCCCTGATCCCTCCTACCCTGTCCCCATTACTTTCGTTCTGTCCTCCAGCAATCACTGTTCTCATCTGGTATCCACCTCTTAGTTCTTCTAAGCTGCAGCAGTACTCTTTAATCAAGGACATAGCAGAAGTACTTACTCTTTTGATTTCTAAGTGGCAAGATCTTTAAAAATTTAAGAATAGCAATCACTTTCTGGACTAGCATATGAAGATTCCAGTGCAGAGCAGCAATTTCGTTTTTAAGGTGCAATGCCCCTGATTCCTCAGATGAAAATAAGTTCTTTCCTTTTTTACCTCACTATCCCTTTGCTCTCAAACCCACCTAGGCTGCTACAAAACTTATAGTGTCCCCAGCCCGTATAAAGTAAGGAAATCCTAGGGGAAGCCTTTCTTGCTTGAGGCTGTTAACAAACAGCCAAAAAACACCTGCATGATATTTTAATTCTCACCTCTAAATTATTTTATGTGGCTGTGAAGATGCCGGCATCTCCCACTCCTCTGTTTCTAACATCTG